AACAAAGTTTGTCTATCTATCTATCTATCTATCTATCTATCTATCTATCTATCTATCTATCTATCTCTATCTAATCAATTTATAGAGCTGCCCATCTCAGCAAATGACAAAATTCTGATTTTGCAGCACTAAAACTGCCCTAGTAATGTCCACAAAAACAACCCAATGACCTTCAGATGTATTGAACTTCAATCCTCATAACTTCCCACTCAATGTGTACAATGGCCATGCTGGCTAGAAATTATGTGAAAGAAGTCCAGTAGAGCTCAAGACACCAGCTTGCAGAAAGCTGTTTTAAAGCTGTTCTGCTAAGTTTTCAGATCTTAGAATACTTATGGGGACCAGCTGCAGACAGGAATGCCAGATCAGTGATATTACAAGATTTAACCTATATACTGTATCTAGAAATCTATAAATTTATTTTCCACCAATTATACACATGAGCAAAATCATATAAACAGAGGGAAATCAGGGTCTGATACAGTCATTTATGAAGACATCATGTGATCTGATTATGGTATAAAAGCTTTTTTTAAAAAATTTCCATCTCTTATTTAGGCTGTATGCAGGACCAATGGATATTATTCTATTCATGTCGCCAGCTGGTTTACCTTATACAAAGTAGTGCAGCCTTTAGTGAAACGAGTCTGTGATGTCGACCGCCTGGCTTGCAGCAAAACCTGTCTAAATTCAGCTGACATTGGGTTTGTCATTGATGGATCTAGCAGTGTTGGCACAGGCAACTTCCGCACCATTCTGCAATTTGTAGCCAACATTAGCAAAGAGTTTGAGATTTCAGAGACAGACACCCGGATTGGAGCTGTGCAGTACACTTATGAACAAAGGCTGGAATTTGGCTTTAACAAGCACATCACTAAGCAGGAGGTGCTGAACGCTATAAAAAGAATCAACTATTGGAGTGGAGGAACCAGCACTGGAGCAGCCATCAACTATGCCTTTGAACAGCTCTTCAGTAAATCCAAGCCCAACAAGCGTAAGATCATGATTTTGATTACAGATGGCAGATCATATGATGATGTCAGGGGACCAGCTTCAGCAGCACATCAAAATGGTAATTCCCTGTTATATTTCTGCTTAAAAAGGGGTTAGCCAGGTCTGGATGTGGGCAGGGCTGCTGTTCTGAAGAGGGCACTTAAATTAGGCCACCCAGAAGTCCACGTTACGATTAAGCTTAGTCTTCCCAATTCCTCCCACCCATAATTGACAGACTCATTCTTGGATTGTATTAAGACCAAGGTTAATTAAGGTGGGTGGAGTTGAAAACTTAGATCATTTAAGCATGGCTGGCCCAGAAATTTTGTGCTGTGTGTGGTACATGTGTTGTCACCTCCTTAAAGAAACTGCTCACACAGTAGCTGTGCAATCCCAGGAAAAACAACAACATTTGAATGAAGGAGGTGCCCAAGAAAAGACACCGCTTCTTTTAGAAAGTGCTTAACTGGAAGCAGTTCAATTTTGGATCCAAAGTGTAGCACATCTTTACTAAGCACAAGTTACAGTGGGGTGGGCGATTGCTGTTCCTCTGTTACACCACATTCAAGTTTCTCTCTTTCCCCAGTGTGCTTGCATTGCTTTCTCAATTGACAGAAAATGCAGCACAGGGTCCTGTGTACTCAAAGCAACATTTTTTTAAAAAATTCCTCAGTTGCAAAGTAATGGGGAAGGAAGATCAGTCTACATTATTTCTTTTGAACAGGCACAGATCTTCTATGTTTTCATACTCAATCTGAACTATTATCAAGATGAATATGAATGCAGCATCAATTTGAAAAAAAGACACTGATCCATTATGGTCTATATTTTTTTTCCCCTGCAGGTGTTATAGCCTACTCGATAGGAATTGCGTGGGCTGCCCAAGATGAACTGGAAGCTGTGGCAACTGACCCTGATAAGGAGCATTCATTCTTCGTGGATGAATTTGATAGACTGTATAGATTTGTTCCTAAGATCATTCAGAATATTTGTACAGAATTTAATTCACAGCCACGGAATTGATTGCATCCACATATAAGGGTTGCATCACTGAAGTTGCAACCAGTAAATCAGGCAATGCCAGCTGGGAAGTTTTACCTAAGAGATAATTTCAGATCAGTTCTCCAGGCATAACCGTAATGAAAGTTGTAGAATGATGCTTCCCACTCACCCATCCACCCCTCCTGCTTGTTTCCAAACTGATCTGACAACAAATTGGCCAACAGTCTTTGATTTGTTTAAAATTATCAGTTGAAGTCAATGAATTTAACTTCTCTGTATCACAGGCAAGGAATACTTCTGAGGTCTTCAAAGCCATGCCTTTATGTTAATGATAGCATTTCTTTCCAAGAGTGGTGGAGAAGGCAAGAAATAGGCTGACTTACTAATTACTTTCAAATACTGTAAAACAGTTTGGATCCTGGCCTTTAATTACAGCTGTTGGCAGCCATATAAGGAATAGGAAGCAAGCAAGACACTGATTAAAAAATAGAAAGTGTGATGAAAACTATGTGGCTGTGGCCTGCATACCAAGTATTGGAGGAATAGTTCTGAGCACGTTGTGTTTCACCATTACTTACATTCCATGTGCTTCAACACAGACCAGTCTGCAACATGGCACCAAACTGTGGGGCAGATAGAGATAGATATGATATCCATAATTCACCATTGTTCTTCTTGTTAGATTCATGAAGAAGACAGCAGAGTCAGAATTTTTCTACTCATTGTCGTATAAGTAAGAAGAGTATCCCATTGGCTAATCTTGAAAACTGTTACAAACATGATAGACCCAATAAATCGTAAGTTTCATTGGGAATAGTGTTTTCCTTTAAAAAAACAAAACCTCTAGTATATGACTATTAGCACTTGAATTGTAAAACACAATATTTATAATAGCTTTTTTTCTTTAGTAGACTAAATAGTAGGTGTTGAGTCCTAGTGGCAGCTTCCTGTTGCTTAACTAGGATTTCCATAAAGAGAAGGAAGTCTCCAGAAGCAGTCTGAAAGCGAAAATACTCTACATATATAGCCTGAGCCATCCTAATCCACATGCTTCTTGACAATTTCAAACAACAGTGAGAGATCCAAATCCAGACTGATTCTGTTTCAGGAAAGCCTCTATATACTTATTTTTATATTTATTTTTTTCCAATTTACAAAAACAGATATTAATTGCAATTTTATAGGTATTTCCTAGGGCTTTTTTTTTTTTTAACTGGCCACTTTCCAGACCCCAGATACAAAGAGCAATTACTGTGCTATGTTAGATAATTTTGGTGGGAAATCAGCAATTTCACATTAAGTCTACGGTAGGGGTCACTTGAATGCTTCTTAGCTTTTAATGGTCAGTAATACTTATTACTATTATTATTGTCAACATTATTTACCTCATTTTTTCAAACTGTCTTCTGAAAAGTTGTTTTAGCCCATTATCTGCTTTGCTTCTCTTAGCGAAGGCAGATGCAAAGAATATATTCGGCTGAATACTGAAGAAACTTGGCGCACGTTTTGTGAATGAAAAAATGAATCTGTGAAGCTCAGTTCCATGCTTTCTCCCTATGCACATGTATATTCAAAAGGGAACAAAGCTCCTTTTCTATGACCTATAATAGCTTTTCGTAAGATAAGCTTTTCGTTTATCTTTGCAATAAAAGTGACAAAAATGGTGCTAGATTTTGTTTTTTATAAAAAAGCAAAACCTGGTGCTACTTCAACATTTAATTAACATGTAAGAAACTGCAAGGGTGTCCAGAAGAGGCTCTTGGAGTATGAACACTCTGCCTCGTTCACAATTTTTGTTCAAGGGGAGGCAGGCAGAAAATCATGTTTCCTTGCATGCAGGATCAGACGATCACACTTCTTATGAAGTTCCCTTATACTGCATCAGACTATTGGTCCATGGAGTTTTCAACCAACTGAACGATGCATCCTCCGCAAATCAACTTTTTATTGGGTAGTTCTTAAATGGATGTTCGTTAAATGTTCTGATGAATTCTGAATCATCAGAATCCTGTTTCAGGTTAACCATTCAAGTGTGGGATTAGACTAGTGATTAAACAAGTCTATATTGCACTATACGACAACTACATATTCTCAAGAATGCTAGAATTCAAAGGCAGTATATTTCCTAGGCCAGCTTTTTAATTATAGCATGTGAAGATTAGAATAGCTTGAACATATCTGGAGCGGCTCTAACCAAGAATTATCAAGTTACAGCATTTATAGCTCCCACACATCACAAATTAGAAGAAATGCTTCCAGATCAAAGGGTTCATTTTAAAAGCCTTCACCAATCAAAAGTCAGGACCCCTGGCTGTAAAGACAGGAGTCTAGTCAGTCCCTGCTCACTTGCTTGTGGTCTGTACAGCAGACCGCCTTGCCTCGGAAGATGCCAGCTACAGTTGCCAGTGAAACATCAGGAAATCTGTTGTCTAGACTACGGTCACTAAACCCTGAAACCCAACACATATTGGCCATGAAAGCCTACACCAGTATATTCTTGATCACCATGTTGCTTTTACTAGATATTAAGTACTGTATATTCTTGAAATTATAGACTCCAGCTAACTTGTATGGATGAATGACAGAACATTGCACAGAACCTTAGCATTTATGGGAATTCAGGGTTTTCATTAGAATGGGCCATACAGCTGTGTGTTACACATAGCAATACTATACAGGACCCCTCACACAGAACTTGCCTACAACTCCTTAATACTGTGGCCCTCTGCAACTGCAACTGTATTTATTTTTAGGCACTGCAGGTAGATGCTTTGAAGCACCTTTTGGCCTTTGTATCCAAAGCTCCACAAAGCTCAACTGCACAGCTATGGTTAATCAAGTATTCAAAAGCAAAGGTTGTCCTAATTATTCACTTTCCCCAAATGCAACACAGGGCAACACAGCTTAAACTTGATGTCAATGGCTTCTGCATCCATACACAGACCAACATCACTGTGGCAGGGTTCACAGGTGATGTCTATATGAAGAGGAAGAGGAATCAGAGGACTTGATGACTTCTCCTTGCTATGTGTGAGAGAGACAGAGTGGAAGGTCCACCAATATAAATCTTTACATACTTCAAATGCAGTATCATAATCGACTTTTTAAAAAGCATCTTAATTTTTGTTATTCAAACCCACCACAGCCCTATGAGAAGTTACACTTTTCTGGTGGTTTGAACCCCTTTCTAATACCAATCATTCTATTTATAACCTAATCCCCAAATAATATAGTTATCTATGGAGTCCTTCGGATTCTCTGAGCTTGTTTTCTTGCAGACATTTTGTTACCCACCTAGGTGACATCTTCAGTGCTAGAAGGGAGTGGGGTTTGCTCTCTGTTTATATACAGTGGCTTGGCCTGTTAGTGTTGGTGGGGGAGTGTTTTTTTCTTTGGTAGTTCCTAGATTAGGCTATTGTTTACTTACTTAATATAGGCCCCAAGAATATGGATGTGATTAATAAGCATACTAAAAGGAACTTTTTAAAGAAAAAGAGGAATAAAGTTTGGTTCAGCAACCAACTGTAGAATCTGAAATTTTCTTCATCTAGTCCTCTAATCTAAGCTACATCTTGCAGTCTATTTACAAATGACATTAATATATCTGTCTATCTGAGAGCCAGTATGGTGTAGTGGTTAAGGGCTGGGCTAGGAGCAGGGAGACCCAGGCTCTAGTCTTTCCTTAGGCGTGGAAGCTGGCTAAGAGATTATGGGTCAGTCATTCTCTCTCAGCCCTTGATTGGGAAACTCAAAAATATCTATATAACAATCTACATTGGACCAGTGTGGCACAGTACTGTTTCTCAACCTCAGCAAGTTTAAGACATGTGGACTTCAACTCCCAGAATTGGCTGGGGAATTCTGGGAGTTGAAGTCCACACATCTTAAATATGTTGAAGTTGAGAAGCACTGTGGTAGAGCATGATCCATAACATTCAATGAACAGATTGATGTGTGTGTGTGTGTGTGTGTGTGTGTGTGTGTGTGTGTGTGAGAGAGAGAGAGAGAGA